CAATAACACCTTTCAGAATTTCAATCTTAGGTTTCGTCTGGTTCCGAGGCTTAATATCGGTTCTTTGAGCCTTGTTTCCTTTTACAATGGGTAGGATGCTAACCTGGCCCATCAACCCTCCTCTTTTATCCGGGCTTGGGACCGACTGTGGACATGAACGCAAGTTCTAAACTACTCAATCCACCTAGTCATCGCGCTCATAACCCCCAGGCACAGTTGCTTAACCGCACTTAAACTTACCACAAAAGTACTAACCAATAAAATCAATAAACTAACAACTTCATCAAATGAAAAGCAAGGATTCAGATCCGGAAGATCCTGCGTAGATTTGTACTAAGAAAAATCACAGAAAAGGTTATTGAGTACAATAAACCAGCATATCTATGTTTTATAGACCTGACATGGGCTTTTGATCGCATCAAAGTCGAAGACGTCTTACACCTACTGTATAAAAGAAACATACCAATCAATATTATACAAACCATCGAAAACATCTACCTACAAAATCGAATACAGGCAAAGATAAATGGAAAACTAACACAGTGTATACCAGTACAAAGCGGAGTCAGACAAGGTGACTCGTTGAGCCCACTTCTCTTTAATATAATAATGGACAAAATATTACAAGCAGTGCGTAAAGGTCGTGGCTACAGAATGGGGAACAAAGAAATCCAAATATTATGTTATGCGGACGACGCCGCATTAATCGCCGAGACAGAAGACGAGCTCCAAAGATTAACACATATCTTCAATATAACAGCTAAGAAATACAATATGATAATATCAGCAGACAAAACCAAATATATGACAACATCTAAACACCCACTACGGTGTAAAATCGAAATTGATGGGAAAATAATAAAGCAGGAAACAAAGTTTAGATATTTGGGAATAGATATAACTAGTTACGGAGATGTTGAAGAAGAAGTACGACAACAAAGCTTAAAAGCAAGTAAAGCGGCGGGTTCTCTTAATGACACAATCTGGAAGAACAAACACCTAAGACAAGACACTAAAACAAGAATCTATAAAGCAGCAATTAGACCTATATTAACATACACGGCGGAGACAAGACCTGACATCTAAAACGAGACGACTGCTAGAAACAACAGAGATGAAAATACTTCGACGAATATTACGGAGAAGTCTATTGGATAGGGAGAGAAGCGAAAATATAAGAAGAGCATGCAATAGAAGACAAATGGATGGGTGACAAAAAGAAAACAGGAGTGGAACGAACATATCAGTAGAATGGCAGAGGATAGAATAGTACGAATAGCACGAGATAAGTCACCAAATGGACGAAGAAGATATTGGCAGACCAAGAAAAAGATGGTGCGACAATTTAGGAGGCTAATATTGAAGAATAAACAGGCTTTAAAGCCTACATACTAGAAGGAAGAAGAAGAAAAAGAGAATTTCAATCAAATACAGCTAATTCCTGCAAGATCGAAGCTTAAGTCAAGACAAGTCAACTGTCAATTTATAAATATTTATAGGTTAAGATTATTAAAGATATAACAAGAAAAATAGGAAAAGGAAAAAACATGATAAAAACACTACATCCGATCCTGTGGAATAAAACTTTAACTAAGAAAACAAAGAAAAATATATATCAGGCTATGATTCAGCCGGTGCTGACGTATGGGTCAGAAGTGTGGGTCTTTAACAATAATATGTCACAAAAACTCCTCTCAACGGAAATGATGTACTGGAGAAGATGTTCCGGGTTAACTTTGTTTGACCACATAAGAAATGAAAACATAAGAGAGATAATGAAAGTAAAGAACACAATAATGGATACGATAGCCGAAAAAACAATTAAAATGGTATGGACACCTGAGACGGATGAACGAAGAAAGGATACCACGAAAGGTTTGGAACTGGAGACCTACACAGAGAAATAAAAGGGGAAGGCCAAGAAAGAAATGGATATCCAATATTCATATAGAAATGGAAAATAGAGGTCTTCAAAAAGGAGACTGGGCCGATAAGAAATTATGGCGATTGGGATGCGAGAAGCGCAAAATTAAAGTTGCAGACACTCGCTATATATATATATATATATATATATATATATATATATATATATATATATATATATATATATATATATATTATATATATATATTATATATATTATATATATATATATTATATATATTATATATATATATTATATATATTATATATATATATATATATTATATATATATATATATATATATATATATATATATATAAGATTATTAAAAAATTTTATTTAAAAAAAAATTTGAAAACGATTTGCGGATTGGAAATTGAAACGTCAAAACAAATGTTAAATGTAATTCTCGTTACAATTAATAATTGTTTCTCGACCTGCTGGTTTAGTATGAGCTACGAGCCTTAAAAAAATCCATGTTACCAGTGTTTTGAATAATTTGCAAAATATTATAAACGAATGTAAGTTTGAGGCAAAGAACATTTATGTTAATTGTACTTGCTATAGGTAATTTTGTACCTAATGTAGTTAATGCTATAAATGTATGTAATTTTATACTTTTCCAGAATACGTTATCTAGAACATTTTATCTGAGATACAATTTATCTACAAGGATTACTGGAGCTGGGTATACAAGTATTAGGTATAAAAAACTGAGTTTCTCAAATTTCTGAGACATTTTGAAAGATACAATTCTATAATAAAAGAAAACAGAGTTATTTTGTTTTTTGATAATTATATATTGGATATATCGATTAAATCTCTAGATTATTGTTCTGAAAATAATGTAGTAGTTATGTTAGTTTCTCATCTCCCCTTGCTTCCTGAAGCTACAACCCCTAAATCATTCCGTTTAAAATGCACTTAAAAAAGCAATCAGCAATCAATCCAGGAAAACCATAAGTACCTATAACAATCTATCTATCCTGTAAATAAGTCTGGCATCCAAACTGGCTTTAGGTGCACTGGCATATATCCTTTTTACCGAAATATATTTACAGCTCTGGATTAAATACCATCTTATTACCATATTACAGACTTGCATCATTAGTCAGCCTTAAACTGTGACCATAGCAAAAAATGTTGTCAAACATTTTGCACGAGAGATTAAAGCCTTATACCGAAATGTTTCTAGGAGAATATCAGGCAGGATTCCGGCGTAGACGTTCAACCATTAACCAGATCTTTACACTACGACAGATCCTCGAAAAAACGCAAGAGTTTAACATAGATATGTATCATATTTTTGTCGATTTTAAAGCGGCATATGACAGTTTCTTAAGACCAAGTCTTTACAACGCTATGAATGAGTTAGGAATTCCAAAAAAAAACTCATATGTTTGATAAAAGTGACAATGGTGAAGAGTAAATTTGAAATTTGAAATTTGAAATAAAAAAACTCCATTTGAAATACATAGGGGGTTAAGGTAGGAAGATGCACTGGCGTGTCAGCTTTTTAATGTCGCCTTAGAAAAAGTTGTACGAGACGCTAATTTAGATAGCAGGGGAACAATATTAAATAGATCAGTCCAAATTCTAGCATATGCAGACGACGTGGACATTATAACAAGAACCAGGGCAAGAATTGCGGAAATCCTAACCGAGCTAGTAGCAGCAGCAGAACAAATGGGGTTACATGTAAATCAACTAAAAACCAAATTTTGGCGACTAACACAAACACAAGAGCTGGAAATGTTGACGCAAATTTAATCATCAATGACAAAAACTTCGAAGCAGTCAAAGAGTTCATATACCTAGGGACATCGGTTAACCCCAATAATAGCACATCTGAGGAAATAAAAAGGCGAATATTAATTGCAAACAGGTGTTATCATGGTCTATTAATGTACTTACCTAACAAACGACTGTCTCAAAAAACTCGTATAGGGCTGTATAGAACACTGATAGTCCCCGTTCTCACATATGGATCAGAGGCATGGACGCTAACTAAATCAGATGAATCCGCTCACGGATTCATCTGATTTAGTTAGCGTTAAACGTACAAGCATACGTTTGGTGGTAAAGATATTACCACTATATTTAAGCCAAACCGCCTGCAGTGGGCAGGGCATGTAGCCCGGGCCCCTGAATCGAATATGATAAAAAAGATTCTAACAGCGCAACCCGTGGGAATGAGAAGACGGGGTAGACCAAAGCTGAGGTGGATGGATGGGTTAACACAAGATACGGAGAAGATCGGAGTAGGCAACTGGAAAATGCAAGCAAGGGACAGAACAGAATGGCGTAAAAAGCTTGAGAAGGTCGAGACCCTCTAAGGGCTGTAGCACCAAGATGATGATGATAGCAAAAAATGAGCACGATGAGGATCAATTTATAGCTTTAAATTCCCAAGGCGTGCTATTGAGCATTACCAAAGCAAAAAATGAGCACGACGAGGATGAATTTATAGCTTTAAATTCCCAAGGCGTACTATTTAGCATTACCAAAGTTAAACCAGTAAACCAGTATAACAAATAAACAATGAGAACTTTTATTAATGATAAAATATGTACAATGAGTTACCTGAGATATCTACTGATACACGAAAAATACTAGATCTTCCCATTACTACTTATAAAAGTCTTACTTATCGTGTTGACCTGTCATCGGAAGATAAAATTTATTCGGGATAAGAAATATTATTCGTTTTTTCAAAATATTAGCCGAATATCAGAGCCGAATAGAGAATACAGTTTTTAATTTACTTAAATATAATGTTATATGAATCTGATATATAATTAATAATTGAGATTTAAAACCATCAAATACTTACCTACCCGAACGAGAAACATTGTGCTTTAACTCTATTGTACGTGAATTTTTCACCAAAAATAATAACGTCGAAGGAATTTTGCTCTCGATATTTGTAGGCTAATATGGGATTATATAAAAAGTCCACTTTCCTCATTTCCCCATTGATTTTTCAAGGTCGTACGAGTATAATCCAATTATTTAATAACCTGTAAGTCTAATGGAATTAAATCCCTGCGGTCTAGGAAAATAATTTGGTTTCTTGGTTTCGTCGTGGTCATAAGATGTTTTAGTTTCGTCAACTTTGGTAGTTTTTAAATTTTCATTTCTCTTTATGGTCTAGGCAATATTCTTCAAAATGGAGAAGGACGTAAGTGAAATATATTTTTTTATTCCAAAGACACTTTGTTTCATATTTTTTTCTTTAGTAACCGATATTTCTGATTTCTTATATTCTCGTTTTGTTAGGTCTCATTTTCCCATTCACTTAATTTAGCGCCATTTTTGTATTGTTTGATTTGTGCAATAAAAATGTCATAATATGTAGTTTATTGTATTTTTATCTACTGATAATGTCAAATCTACCGCTTTTGAGCTTGAAGTCTTGGAATTGTTGGATTATTTTGCACCGTACCATTATTCAGTGGCAAATTTAACAAACTCCATCATCGTCATTTATGATTTTGTCAAGAAACGATACCACCACCTCTTGACCACCATTCAATATAAAATGCATTAGCTAAAAGATCAGTAAACAAGACTAGATGGATAAAGGAGCAACCAGGGAAGCTCACAAGAAATAAGGAATGGATGACGATAAAATTAAACTGTACAGTCAATTAGACCCAAAAGGACCATGTCAAAACTTATACATCGAAAAAACACATTCACAGGACAAGTGCGATTTTTCTAAAAAAACTTCAAAACTGTTTATCAAGGAAAAACATATTTGAATGAAATATCATAATTGGTGCTAAAGCCCTCTAGTAGCGCCTCGACGTTCTTAAGTCTACTTCGCCTCTCAGCTCTATCCATTTCCGACCGCTGCCAGTTTGCTATACCTATTTGTTTTTGTCATCTTCATCTACACTACTCTTCCGTCTACTACCTACTAAGTTTTGGTCTACCTCTCCGTCTACTTCCCACCGGCTGTGACATTCATCTAGGAGAATTTTTCTACTAAAATCTTGCTAGATGATCTGCCCATATTAGTCTTCCTGTTTTTATGAGAGAAATTACGCCGGTACCACCAGATATCTTTTTATTTGTGGTATATCTCATAGTTACACCTCCTCCTCCAAATAAAGTTTTCACAAAGACCACCGAATATTTCTCTCAGGATTCTTCGTGCAAATGTGAGCAACAAATTTCATCTGTTTTGGAGATGGTCCATATTTCTTATCCAAACATCAGCAGTGACATTATAAGGGTTTTTATTTTCTGGCTTCAGGTTTTACTTTTCATGTATCTACGCAGGCCAAAATAGTTTGTCAGAATTATTCTTCATTGGATTTTTCCCATTATGGAGTTGTCATTGGTATCAGGAAGTATGGTAGACTGGGTACGGTGTAACAATTTTCCTTTAATGGTTCACAGCACAGCTATTACAGCTGTAAGCAACGATCAAATCCTTTGATGTGAAGTTATATCCATTTGTCTTTAAATTAATCTCAAAACCAGAAGCTTAAGTAAAACAGTTTGGACGGAATAGTCATTTAAATAAGTGTGTGCGATTGTTATAACCAAACTCATACGAGGGGTGGTTGTAATCTATATAGGAAAGTTGTAACATTCAAAAATAATAAACATATCACGCATATAAAATCAGTTTTGTTATTTTTAATCAGATTTATTAATAAAAAAAACCAAACAAAATCTGAGTTTAAACAAATTATACTTTCTTATATATTTAATCAGGCCCATTGCAGTTGTGGTATATAATAATATCTAATGCCATCAGTACATCCTACGTAAGAGCATCGTTTGCAGCTACTTTGGCAGCTTTGCTACTCTAAGCAAATAAGTCAATAATATGATGATGATTCGGGCTGTGTATTAGCCTTCATTTTCTTCGTTTTTCCTTTATTTGTCTTTGATTATCTTTCTAGTAGATTATTCAAGTACTTTTTTCTTTGTTTGCCTATTTTTTAACCGCTTCTGGCGCTCTTCATACTCCTTTCTAGCAGCTTGCTTTTCAGGAGTATCTGTGAAGATAGCAGACTTTTTGGTTGTTCGACCTCTGTTTCCTAGTTATTATAGGTGGAGCTTTAGGGTAAGTTCTTAAAGTCTCAGGCGAGAATAAAGACTGCTTGCTTGTAGATGGTTCTGATTGCTGACGCAAAACTGCATCATGGGAAGAGCTATCTGATTCCAGATTCATTGTACCAGCTTGCAATTCTTGGCTAGGTTCTAGAGGTGTTTTGTCTAGGTGGTATTTTTGTTGCTTGGCGATTGCAAGTGGTGTAAGCATTTGATGGTCAACTACTGTTTCGTTTTTAGGATTGGCTGAGCGTACTATGATATTTGAATCACTGTTTAGTTAATTTGGGCTTATTGCGCTAAATAAAGGTGGATCATCAATATTTATTAATATCATCAATTCAATAAAGAAGATGCTAGTCATGGAGATTCCTCATCAGGTGCAAATCTAATGTTATATTGATTCGAAATGCCTACCTATTTAGTAGCATTTGGATGAGGCCTGTCTGTCGCGAACTATGGCGCAAATTCAATTTCTTGGAATAAATCGCGGTTAAATGGGAAGATTCTTTCGAAACCAGGTCTGGATATTTACTTAAGTGACAGCGAGTGGCATTGCGATGTCATAATACTCGGTATGTCGTAAATAATCGTGATTTTGCCTAAATTATTTCGTATCCAGGCATCACAAATAGTATTAATGGCTTTTTTGAAAGGTCCATAAACGGATCTGTCTAAGGGCTGTAGTTTGTGAGAGTGGTGGCGCGAAATTACAGTAATACTATTCCAATATATTTGCAAATATCTAGGGAGGTGATATGTATGTGGAACGAATGATTGTCTAGCACCAATAATATCTTATGTGACAAAAAGATATGCTTTTCGTATTCATATTCGAGAAATATAATAAATGTCTCTTCTCGCATCCACCCTGATATATTACCAGCACCGAATATTCCTGTTGGTCCGTCTCTAATGAAATGCTCTTTATATTTAATTCGAGGAAACACGAACGCATGTGGAATACTGTTGCCTAATGCGTTAGCTGCAATGCTAGTGTGACCAAAGTGCCTCGTTAAGCAGAGGTAAATGCGACCACCTGCCTTGCGACGAGAAGTCTTGCAACAACTCTGTCAGGCTTCTGTACTGTAGTAACGCGTCCTGAGGTTCCAAGTGATCGCGATCCATAACGATCTGAAGATTATCATAAAAAACATTGACATTATATCGGTTGAAACTTGTCTCCTAAGATAAGCTTGTGGCTTGAGCAGCCTGGATAGATAATTCGGAATTTCTCTTCATAAATGAAGGAAACAAATCATCTTCACCCATTTTATTTTGCAACCCAGGGAAGGAGTGTTTAGATTATATTTTATGGTAAGTTCAAAGACCAACTTTATATGTCTGCACAACGAATGAGGTATTTCGCTAATTGCCGTTCTTGGTCTTCGTTAAAAACTCTGTTATGAGCCACATACACCATTTTAATATTTTTCTGCTGTTCATGGTCATTTTCATTTGCTGCATCTCTCTTTCGCTTGTATCTCAAAAGAGAAACAGAATTAACACCGTACTTCTCTGCTGCTCTTCTTAAAAAAGCACCTAATTTAATTTCATTGTAAGCGTTGTAAACCTACAAAAATAGTACCATAAAAACCGTATCACCCAATCCCTACCCCCCATTTTGATAATAAGACTGTCGCAAGCAGGAAGTAGCTTAACCTATACAAAAATATATAAGCTTATTATGATCTCTAAGTGTGACGATTACGTAAGCATATTTTGAAATACATGATGAATACAAAGAAATTCACCAAAAATACGTACTTTTGGTTGACAAAATACAATTGGCCTCACTGTAAGCATAATTACCACCCGAAAGGTGACCCAGCACCTATATATACTTAATCTATGCCCCTACCCTTGTGCTCCTCACCTACTGTACACAGTTTCGATAATATTCGATTTGTTGTTCGATTGTGCGTCACATTGGTAACTTAGGTTACGTGGTCGATAAACCTGGCAAATTAGAAAGAGATACAGGGACTGCTTTGTATCAGTTTTCTTTGTCGCACTAGTCAAACGCAACTGTATTGCAACAATCACTCTATTTGTATTATATATCTGAGGACTTAACCAAACATAACCTATCCTAAATTAACCTTACTAAGATGTAAGGTTAAGTTAGGATAGTGAAACTGATAGGGCAAGATGGGTTCAAAATCTACGTCCAACCACTAGCAAAAAAAACTAAAAATGGATTAATTTGATAAAGGTTTTTTACATCGGTCTAGTATAGATTTGAATTTTGAAGAAAAAATGCTTCGGATAGTTAAATAATTACATACAAATTAATTACTATTAAACTGGGAATAAGCCACAATTAAAGATAAAAATACGTTTATTGACGTTTCAATTTCCACTTCGGAAATCGTTCTCAAAAAAAAAAAAAAAAAAAAAATTAAAATAATTTTTTTTTTTTTTTTTTATTTTTTTTTTTTTTTTTTTTATTTTTTTTTTTTTTTTTGAGAACGATTTCCGAAGTGGAAATTGAAACGTCAATAAACGTATTTTTATCTTTAATTGTGGCTTATTCCCAGTTTAATAGTAATTAATTTACAATGCCACAAGAAAATAGCTTCAGAACAAAATTACATACAAAGTTTAAAAAAGAAATTGGTTACACTGGAAGCAGAGAAACTCTCTGAAATGAAATTCATAAAACAGGATTTAATTGAAAAAAAACTAGGCTCATTAATGAAAAGACACGATATATGTAAGTTAAGAGTAGTAGATTATCTCCGAAAAAATTTAAGAATGTTGTAGCGAAAAACAAAGTGTCTTGCGGATAAACTTGTAATAAATTTATGTCCAAACAGCATTATAGTATTAGATAATAAAAAGGAAAAGACAGTGAAGATTTGATTTCATGTATAGTGCGTCTGTGTATCCGCTTATACGTATTTCGGCCGAATACGCCTCTTCAGAACGGCAATTCACAGTCGCTCTGAACGTGAAAATAAATCTCTCCTGTCTTAGGAAGCAACTTCTAAGGGAAAAACCCAATTTCTAAGTCTAAAAAAGCAGACTATGGTCTAAAAAAGAAATGTGAGCTTCAAATTAAATGACGTTATGGAATTATCTGATAAGTTTTATACATTTCCTGTTGAAGAATGACAAAAAATGTGATCAGGTCGTTTTAACTGTTGATACCTTTTTGTCAAAAGAACCTTTACTTTACCAAATTATAATTGGTAAGCAGGTTTTGTATGTTTTCAATAAAATTGATAGTGTGTAAAATAATTTATTAATTAAGCTGAGTATACTTTCGACATAATAAATGTCATCATCAGAGCTATCCTAAAAAAACGTTAAGTTAAGTAAATTTTTTATATAAAATACAATTACAGAAAAAACTTACGTCAATTAGGTAATAAATACTTCATAGAAGGAAAATTGTGGACAAACGACATATTAAAAAACAAAGATCGGGCTCTGTAGGCCACAGATCTTGGATCTAACCCTTATACATATGTATAATTCACATCAAAAAATTTTTATAAAACATGGTTACCACATACAGCAACGACAACAGCTGTTTTTGACTTACATTTTTGAAGTAAAATGAAATAGGAAGCTCGGATATATGGAAATAAATCCGAGAGCAACTTCTGTATTTAAAATTATTAATTGAAAATTGAAAATGTCTAAACTGACGTCTGAAGGTTATTGATTATTACTTTTAGTTACTATAGAATTTTAAATTTAAATATTTTAAATTGATAAGTTAACGTGAAGATTTAAAATATACATTTATCAATATTATCAAAAAACAAAACTTTAAAGTTTGACCAAGTAGAAGAAAGTAGATGAAACCCAACCAAGGAGAAGTATCATTTGCGAAGTTAAGAGTTCAATAGCTATTATTGATTGTCAATATTATTAATAAAATAAATAATGAAGAAGAAAAATATCAAACATTCTCTACTTAGATGAAATCAATGAAAGAAAATTTAAGAAATTCTCTCTTTTAAATCTCTTTTAAAATAAAGGTCAAAGCTTGATCAAATGATGGTTAATTTTATACTAAATGTATTATTAAAGAAACTTCTTAAAGATTGGATCAAACTTACAATTTAAGTTAATTTGAGTGTTGACACAGTTCTGAGGATTCCTTTTCATTTCTCTACTGATTTCAAGATCTTCTAGTAATTTCATTTTTATATAATTATTATTGGGTATACTGTGTAGGATCTTGCTATCTCTATGAGGACTAAAGCCATGCTTTGAAACATGTATATGATTCCCAAAACTAGATTTATCAATCTTAGACAGATGTTCTTTAATGCGTATATCCAAAGGTCGCATTGTTCTACCCACATAGGTCACTGGGCATTCACCACAGGATAATTTATAAATACCACTTTTTGACGATTTGTTGATTTTGTCTTTAGTGTGGGAAAAAATAGATTTGATATTTTCTTTAACTTTGAAAGTTTTAGATTAGGGATGTTTTTTTAAGATTCTGGCTATATTATCTGAGGGATAACCTATGTACGATATTGATCGATAAATAACTGTCGAGTTAGAAATGTTATGGACAGTGTTGTGTTGTATGCTAGTGATCTATTCCTTTTATTCCTTAATTTGTTGAGTATGTTATCAACCAAAGTAGGGGTATAACCGTTACTATAGGCAAGTTGTTTAATAATTTCTAATTCTGATTTAAAATTTGAATCTGACAGAGGTAAGCTAAGTAAACGATGGATATAGCAATAAAAGGAGGCCATTTTCTGTTGAAAAGGATGATTAGAAGATCTAGGGATGGTATGGTCAGTCTGAGTTAGTTTTCTAAAGACTGAAAAATTTAATTTGTTATCTATTCTAGTTAATGTTAAGTCTAGAAAATTAATAGAATTGTTGGATTCTGTTTCTATGGTTAATTTTATAGCTGGATGTAAGTTGTTAAGTGAAACTAGGATATTGTCTGCTTCTGAGGAGTTTCCATCTATGATAGCTAACAGATCATCCACATATCTGAACCAATATAGATATTGACAAGATATTGACAAGATTGTCAAAGATATTAATCTCCAGGTTATTCAGAAATAGATCTGCTAGCAAAGGTGATAAGGGATTGCCCATTGCCAATCCTTAGAAGTGTGTACAAGTCTTACAGTCTTTTTCAATACAAATTATAATTGACTTAAGTGACGATACAGCAAACAGTAATTTTGATGATGATCTGGATCATTCGATTGAATTATATAGCGACCAAGGATAACAATTTTTTGGTTTGAAATAAGGTTTTACCTTTCTATTCCTTTTGTAGTCTACAAGTGTAAATTTACAATCAACCACAACTTTTACGTAAATATTGTCTAGAATAATAATATTCATTATAATATATTGTTTTCGTAATATTCATATCACAACTAAATTTTGGACGCGACAACACCGCATTCGAAACAAGTATGCCTACAAGTCTATTCTATATCTCTCATGAATCTTTCTTTTCGATTTATGCGCAGATGACCAGCCACTTCTCGCTTGTCGTACTGTATTTGATAAAATCATCGGAATCACTTTTAATTTTTTTTGGTATATAATAAAAATATATTATTTATCTTTTTTGCAGGTGGATGTTGAGTCACGCATTACCCGTAAGGCATTAATAATGCCCAAACTGCCCAACGTCCTAACACTAGAAGAAAAAAAATTTCTCTTGGCCGTTGAACGCGGAGATTTAGGCAACGTCAGAAGGTAAGCATATTCATTCAATAAATAAATACATACATACATAAGTAATGATATACAAGCTTAAGTATCAAAAAGAAAGTTTTTATTATGGATCAAGACAATACGTCGTCTTGTGCAGAATTTTATACAAAAAAGAGATATTGTTGCAGTTGTAACTAAAGAACTAAATAAAAATATATCTAGAAGGATTTTCTTCTTCTTCTTCTTCCTACTTTATAAATAGGCAATGATCTTCTTCCATTTGGCGATTTGTCTCTTGCTATTCGTACTATTCTATTTTCTGTCATTAGAAGGATTTTGTCATCAAATTCTCTTCTAATATAAGCACCAAAGAATTTGAGGTTTATATATTTTAGGCATCTACGTTAAACCGATTTTACCAGGTTAATAGCATTCGGATAAATAGATGTCCAGATTACAGTTTTATATTTATTTTAATTTATCATCAGTTGGCGCTACAGCCCTTCATGAGCCTTGGCCTGCTTCAAAACATTCTTCCATCCTTCCCTATCGAGTGTCTGTCTTCTCCATCCCCTCACTCCAATCTCCCTCAGATCTTTCTGTACATCGTCCAGATATCTGAGTTTATGTCGCCTCATTCTTCTTCTTCCGACCGGCCTGTTTAGCATAGTTATTTTAGTGGGATCACTCTCATCCATCCGCATAACGTGGCCCACCCACCTTAGGCGGTTTACTTTGATGGTCTTCACAATATCTGCATCACCAAAAAGTCTATAGAGTTCAAAGTTATATCGCCTTCTCCACAGACCCTGTTAGTTTACTCCGCCATATATGGTCCTCAATACTTTTCTTTCAAAGACTCGTAGTAACTCTTCATCTCGGGTCGTCATTGCCCATGTTTCCGATCCGTATGTGAGCACTGGGCGTATTATTGTTTTATAAAGTTTGCACTTTGTTGCTATTGACATACTTCTCGCTCTTAGTTGAGGGCCCATACCATTTCTATCGTTTCGTGTTGCACCTCTTAGTTATTTTGTTGAATTCTTGATATAGCCGGCATATATTTAGGTTTCTGGATGTTAATCAGAAGTCCGATGTTTTCTACGGCATATTTGATACGTGTGAAAGCCTCCACTGCTTCATTTTGGGTTCTTCCAATTATGACGATATCATTAGCGTATGCCATTATTTGTATACTACGAGTATATATCGTACCTTTTAAGTTTATTCTCGAATCTCTCATAATTTTTTCTAACGCTAGGTTGAACAGCGTGCACGATAGAGCATCTACCTGGCGCAATCCTCTGTTGGTTTTAAATGGTTTTGAAACATCCCCTTGTACGCGCACTTTACATTCGACTTTCATCATTGTCATTTTAATTAATTCTACCAAACCTTTTGGTATTCCTAATTCGATCATCGCCGAATATAATTGGGACCTGTCAATAGTATCGTACGCTGCCTTAAAGTCTACGAAGATGTAATGGCAGTCTATGTCGTACTCCGTCGTTTTTTCTAATATTTGTCTGATGGATGATATGTGATCAATGGTAGATTTGTTTTTCAAAAAGAAGATAGATTTTAATTTATATAATAATAAAAATTGTCAAATTGTATATTTCTTCATGTAATTACATTTGGTTTTCTATTTTAGGATGCTCCAAAAAGCGTATCGAAAAAAAACCGCTTTGGATGTTAACTGTATGGACAGTCTCGGCAGAGGGGCATTAACAATAGCAATAGATCAGGAAAACTTGGAAATGGTCGAACTGCTAGTGGTAATGGGAGTGGAAACCAAAGATTCTTTACTCCATGCTATCAATGTTGAGTTTGTGGAGGCTGTAGAGCTCCTTTTGGAACATGAAGAGCTCATACATAAAGATGGTGAACCATACGTAAGTGGTTACTTCCAATACCTTGTGAAATTAACTAATATTAGCATTTCGAGCCGCTGCAGCCAATGGTGGTCCCCGACCTGACCACTCTTCGTCATTTTGTGACTGACAGTTTTATGATTTCGTTTTTAACATCACGGTTCCAGTAAACGCATAGTTTTCCTTGATGTGGCATTATATTTATACAAGCTACCTATTTTTGCCCAATTGCCATAATCTCTGCAAACTTAAAATGAAAAAACTTTCTTTTTTATCAATTGACCTGCAATTAATCTTATGGAACAGTTAAAATGTATTTTGTAAACAAAATTAGGTGCAACATCAAGTTATTAAAAGCTAGTTTTAATGTGTTTTTAAGTTTCGATAGCAATGTATGTCGTCCCCTCTTTCGTTTAATATAAACTTCGAACTTTTAAAATATGTCATAGGAGATATTGATGAGGGAATTTTACTGAAGACGAAATACTTAAAATAACACAATGTTTCCCAAATACCAGATTGTGACGGGTAGCTCTTTCGGGGCGACAGACTCAGTAAAACACAGGTTGAAATAAAAATAAATCTATTAATTTAGCATATATACAATAAATAAAAATAAAATGAATCCTACGTCCCCGTCTGGATCCCGCGATGAATGAACTCCCCGGCGAATGTCTATATAAAAAAAAAATTATTATTAATAAGAAAGAAATGAAATAGGTGAAGTCGATCGCACGCCAGACTTATACTCGCTTCCGCTTCAATTCAGCGGAAGCTCCGAACGCACTCGCAAACCAAATATTCGGCTTTGCAGACGCACGGTAATGTTCAATACACAATACCGATGGGTTCTGCTTGGTTAAGGACAGGGTATGATCCTCAATACGGAAATCTCTCTGTCCGGGTTGGCTCGCAGGTTCAATACACCGGCGAGTAAAGGAACCTAGAGCTCTAGCTACAAGACTCTCTAATTCCGCTATTCACAAACCTTAAATAGCCGCTCCGAATCCCACTTCGTCGTCTCGTTGTAGAGGTGGATGCGAAAATATTGAAACTCCCACGGTTCAAACTGTTAAACGATCAGAACATTGTTACAAGATCATCATTCATTACCAGTCACTGACAATAAAATATCAACCACTTAAATGGTACATAATACTGAAATGTCTATACAGAGTGGAAGCTTGGACTCTATGGAAGACATTAAGAAGTTGCAGATTTTTGAAATGTAGTGGTTATTAAATTACGAATGCTGCGGATCTCCTGGGTTGGTCGAGAATGGAAATCTGAAGCTCTCCGCAGAATATTAAAGCAACATGAAGTGCGTATCACAATAAATAATCCAAAGTAGAGTATTTGGAACATATTTTGAGAAATAATGAGAGATATAATTGATGGATTCGACGGTAACTTGATGGAAATTCATTTTATGTAACAATAAAACACTGAAAATTTTGTTTTCAAACTTTCACAAAACTTATTTTCAACTTATCACTACAGCTGTTTCGGCTGATTGCCTTTCTCAAGTGATCTATTTTTGGCATGCGTTTACATTTTATAGTCTCTAATGAAATATGTTGAGGAGGGGAGAAATGATTGTCTAAAGTTGGTCATTCAGAATTATATCTGTGTTTTTTAATTTGTTGATTTCCATAGATTCTAACAAGGATAGCTTAAGGCCTTTATTTTGAATGTTAAGAATTTTAAATTCGTCATTAAAAGAATAATTGTGATCTAGAAGGTGAAGTGCGTATGTAGAATCTGTTTTTCTATTATTGAAAGCCCTTTTATGTTCTCCTATTTGCTTATTAAAGTTTCTACCAGTTTGACCGATGTAAGTTTTTGGGCAGTCGCCACATTTAAGTTTGTACACACCAATGTGTAAGTGTTTTTTATTTTGGCTCTTGTTGTTTTTGATATATTTGCCTAGGTTGTTATTTGTTCGGAAAGCTGGTGTTATTCCTTTCTTTTTTATTTGTTTGGCTATTTTAGTTGATATTTTGCCTGTATATGTAATCGAGCAGAAGGTACTGGGTTTTTTCTCTGCTGGTGGAAATACTAATTTCAGGGCTTTCTTGTGTAGTTTTTGATTTAACATTTTATTAATTGTTTGTTCGTTGTATCCGTTGTTTACTGCTATTTGCTTGATGATATTTAATTCTGTCTCAAAGTTGTATTTTGACATCGGAATTTCTGTTAATCTATGTAACATACTATGACATGCTGCAAGTTTATGTTGTGTTGGATGGGATGATGAATAGTGTATAGTCGTGTCAGTATGGGTAGGTTTATGAAATATGGAGAAGTCATGGTAATAATTAATTTAAATCCATATTCTGCGTTTTACATTAATTTCACTGTACATACACCACACACCATACTTTCACCTTCTTGAACCTATAATCCTGTTTTCAAGATGAAACCAAGTTATATGTGATGTGTATATTGTCAAATTTTTGTTTGAAATCTATAAATAATTGCGAAATCTAATGTTTTTCAGAGCTGGCAAAAAGTAGATATTAACACGGCTATGTTCACCCCAGATATTACTCCCCTTATTTTGGCTGCTCATAGGAATAACTACGAAATCCTTAAGATTTTGCTGGACAGAGGAGCTACGGTTCCAATGCCTCATGATATAAAGTAAGTTTTGCCAAATTTCATATTGTAAAATTTATTTTAAAATTACTATAAGGTTATTTAAATCAAAGACAGGTTTTGATTTCACAGTATTATAAATACGGAATAAGTCAAACTGATGGTGATCATGAAAAAAATGGTCTATAGAAGAATGAGCATTTTTATATTTTCATCTTTTGTGTGCAATTCGACTGTCAGTTGATCTGAATCGGTATTGGAATTTTTGGTGTTTCTAAGGAGAGGTTTTGTATTTTGTAGCGCTGCGCTCTACATCTTAATTGAAGTTGTCTAGTTCTACACACTATCTTATTTACGATTTAAGTTGGTTGAGTATTTTTAGATTTTGATAGCCTCTTTAAAAATCCCTGTCTATAGTTTATTTTTATGAACGAGAGAGTAATTAGCATAATTTTAACTGGTACCTCCGACCACTCCATGGGCGTGCTCAAGATTAATTGAAAAATTACTTTGAATAATTGTAAAAAATAAATGAATTATTTCAGTGTTATAAAGTGTTATGTGTATGTAAACAAAAGTGACCTCTTTTATCACACACTATATTAGAACTAACTCTCCTACATTAAAAAGGGGTTTAAAAAATTCACATTTTTTTTAATTTTTAAAAATTACAAAAGAGAAAAAGAGTTTTTAAAACCGTCTAAGGTATGTTAAATAGATGAATAAAAATATTAATATAAAACTTACAGCTACTTGTTACAAATCCAAATCAGATTCAGAAGATGAACTTTCAGAACCAAGATTTATAATAACTGGCTCGATCATTTTATCAGTAATATTGTCCAGCTTCCAGATTTTTTCCTCTTCTTTAATAGTGTGATTTGCTGCCTTTTCCCAATTTTCAGGATTTACATTATTTACGGCCTCCAAAAACAACTGTTTAACATCATGAATTTTAAAAGTGGTATTTTTTCTTGAAACTTCACTCTTTATCTGTGTCCATACCAGTTCAATCGGGTTTAATTCACAATGATATGGTGGGGATCCAAGTACTGTCATTCCACGATTTTTGGCAATTTCATCAATTTCGTATTTTTTAAATTTTTCTTTATGAAAGGCACACAACGAATAAAGTTCCTTTCTTATAGATCCGGGATGGTACGTAATATTTTTTGAGCTCAGCCAATTCTGCAAGTCTTTTTTTAACCACTTGGTTGTCTGGAGTGATAACTTGCATTATCCATTACTATTACACAGTTCTTATGAAGAAGATCTATCATTTGTTCGAACCATTCTTGAAAGACATCAGCGTTCATGTCTTCATGGTAGTCACCGGTACGAGTTGATTCAAAAGTTAATAAACCACCTTCAACAAAACCGTCTGAACTGCCAATGTGTACTATTATCAGCCTGCGTCCCTTTCCTGATGGTGGGTTTAAACCAGTAGATAAGTTATTTACAAAGCGTGCCTTTGACTTGTAACAGTTTCATCCTGCCAAAATTTATTTGGTGTATGACCCTCGTTGATCCATGTTTCATCAAGATAAAATATTTTCTTTTTTGGTTTCTCATTTCCTTTATGGTTCTTAGAAAATATCTTCTCCATATGACAATATCGCTTCTTTCTAATAAAATAGACTTTCTGGGATTCTTTTTCCAGCGGAAGTCTATTTCTTTTAAAAGTTTCCATAACGTACTTCGACTCATTTCTGGGTAATCCTTATCATCTCGAACTGAGACAAGAACTTTATCCAATGTTGGAAATTCTTGTCTAAAGAAGAATTCATGCACTTTCCGTCGAAGTCCTTCTTTAAAATGATATTCTATTTGAAATTTTGGTTTCCCTGGAGCATTACGTGGCATTTGAAAACTACAACATTTCTCTTCTTTAATAACTCTGTAAATCGTAGATTTCCCAACACCAAGTGTACTGCTAACTAACTCAACGGTCTCATCAACACTTTCACATAAACGTTTGTCTGTAAATGATTTAAAACAATTAAATAATAATTTTTTTTCATTAACTGTTAAAGGAAAAATTTTTCGGCGTTTACACGGCACTTCCAAATTTTCCATAACACTAGTATACACAATAAACTGCACCTTGCAACTGAAGTACCTACTTTTAGTGAACTGTAAAGAATTTTGAATACGCCACTTGGACCTTCCTACAAAATGGAAAAACCCACTATCACATTTTCTGTGGAATAAGTTTAGAAGGTAATTATCTAGTCAATTACTGTCGTAGATTCCTGGAATTAAAGAATTAAATGTTTGATTGTTGAAACCCTTACTTCGTGGAATGCACTCATTTCAGATAAAATAAAACGTTTTATTTTATCTAAAGAATTAAACTTTATTTTGTAAATAGGTAGGTACTTATTAAACTTTTATTGGTTATATATATAACCAATAAAATAAACATCTTACATTTCTTGCAAATTCATTAGTACCTGTTAACCTCCATCACTCCGACACTGACAACCTTATTTAGGGATTAGTAACCCTCACAACTATTGTATTCTATTCTGCTCCAACCTTTATACCTGGTGGTCATACTAAATTTAAAATTGTTTTCCTATATACTTCTGTAAACTTGTTGACAAAAATATCTGTTTTTCATTGAGTCACCCGTATCAACAGTTTAGGGATTTGCATGCATAATTTATTGTTTTATTACTCTCTCATACATAAAAATACACTATAGTAGTGTGATATTTTACTAAGCATCGATGTTTCTTCAAATTATATTTAATGGTTGTCTTGTGTGATAGTATGTTATACTATGGCTGATCTTTAGCAGTGATTAAATTGACAGTCCCCCTTGCATCATTGCCTTATTACTCTAATATAAATCATAACAGAATAAACCATCACACATGTCAACTACCAGTTGTTGTAGGAATATCAACTCTAGTAGAATATCACACCAGTATCCACATTATATTCAGAAAGGTTATGGAATTTAAAAAAACATTCGGCCAAAAAAATTTACACTCGCAGAAGATTTTTCCTCGTAATTTGAATGATCCTGGTATAGAATTTCGCTGTATACTTCAAAGTGCTGAATCTATCCGATTTTTATTATGTCTGGAGTTACATAAAATCGATAGTTATTTCTACACTTATAAATATAAGAAACAAATTAATTCTGGAATTTAATTCAAGATGCAGCCAATTCATTTAGAAAGAATACCGTCACAGTTATAACATTCAGATTATCGTTAAATAAACATACTCAGATTATGATCTTTGCATGAGGTAAATAAAATTTATCTAAAAATAAAACTAATTTCATTTCCGTGCAACGTTTTAAGATCTCCTTAAAATTATTTTTAACTTACCTAGAGATGTGAGCATAAGTAATTGGTTATTTAACCTTTTTTATGAGTTTGCCTTCTTTAAGACAATACTAACTTTGTCACTAGATTGCTAAACAAACTGCTTGAACAACAACAGTTTCCAACAATGTTGAAAGAATCTGGAGAGTGGAATGGACATGTTTGGCTAATGCACAGCGGGCAGGGTGAAGTCGAGAATCACTTTTGTGTAGTGTAATACGTGATTTCAATAATTCAGATGTTTGGCCGATGTAGGAATTGCTAATCCACTGGTCATCTCATGGACTATACTAACACTACAATTCTCCACCGTGAGAACAATCAATCTAAAAGAGAGTTCATTGAAATGTCTTATATTTTCCTTAACAATTTCTCCATCAATCTTAAGAGTGACATTAAGAATCTAAGCGATATATACCACTTCTTACTTAAATCAGATACCAAGAACAATACAACATCACAGATAACTAACTTGACTGATATATCCATTAACAACTAACCTACTTTAATAATAATTTTCATTAACTAAAAAAGATAACATTCCCTTGCTTTTCTTAGATACATCTCAGTAAGATATTATTATAATAATACCTGAACAATATAACATAATTATAAAAAAAATTTTCAATTATGAAAATCTGAAATAATATATCCCTATACTTGGATTTAACTTCATTCGGTTTTACCAATGAACCTTAACGACATAAAGATTCAAAAGTACTACTTGAATTGTCAGTACATGCGTTCTGATAAAACGGTACCTCACATTTAAACTTTCTAACAATCAAAAATTTAGTTATTGCCGACAATTCAAAAATTTACTTCCTTTTAAATGTAGTTACATTGGGTTTTTCGATTAACCTTGGGTAAACCTTTGCGTTTTAAGTTCAAAGCTACCATACATTGTAGCTAATTATAATTTATTCTCTTTCAGCCCTGAAGAAGCTAAATTCATTCTCTTTGGCGAAAAAATTGATACTCATTAGAGTCTTTCTTGCAGATTTCCCCAATATTTAAGAGTTTACTATTTAACTTATCTGCAAAGATTAAATTTCTTATATATATATATATATATATATATATATATATATATATATATATATATATATATATCATTTTAAAGTCGTCTACTTTAAAATGCATAATGTATGTCTGAATTGTCAATATAAATGAGTCAGATAAAATTAAATTATTAGAAGAATTTTTTCACTATGTAACAAAAAACAAAATTTGTTTAATTTACTGTTTGTATTTTGAGAACGATTTCCGAATTGGAAATTGAAACGTCAATAAACGTATTTTTATCTTTAATTGTGGCTTATTCCCAGTTATAAATAGTAATTTATATATATATATATATATATATATATATATATATATATATAATATATATATATATATATATATATATATATATATATATATATATATATTGTTTACTTTTAGATGCGGCTGTGATGAATGTATACAAAAATCCGAAGAAGATTCCCTTCGACACTCTTTATCGAGACTAAACGAATACAAAGCCCTTGCCAGTCCGTCCCTAATAGCTCTCTCCTCAAGTGATCCCTTGCTGACAGCTTTCCAGTTGTCTTGGGAGCTACGAAATTTGGCATTCGCTGAACCTGTAAGTACTTTTCTATTTTTTTCTCCTTTTTCAAATATATTTGTATCATTTACTAATAATTATTTCGTTTTTGCTCGTTGACATAAAACGTCTGCAGCGCCACCACTCAAAAATTTATTAATATTTTTCTAGGAATGTAAATCTGAATATATGGATTTGCGTCTTCAGTGTCAGCAGTTTGCCGTAGATTTGTTACACCAGTCCCGAAATTCTCAGGAACTAGCTATAATATTAAACCACGATCCAGAGAATCCTCCGTATGAAGAAGGAGAACACATGAAACTAGCTAGATTGGAGCTAGCTATACAGTACAAACAGAAAAAGGTAATTATATATCAATATCAAAGATATTTGATAACTGCTTCTACTTTTTTTGAAAACTTAAATTTTTCTGTAGTTTTTTTTAATTAATTACTTTTGAAAATGCAATATTAAATTTTTTCAAATGTTAAGTTTAGTTAACTTTCAATTAGGAACAGAAAAGATATTAATTACCTCCTATACGTGGATAGCGTGTACAAAATTACCTCCCACTTACTGTATACAAGAGAATTTTGATAAATCAAATATCTCTTTTGAAATAAAATGCATTCTTCTTGGCCTTCTACCGACCATTTTTAAATATAGGCGTCTTCCAACTCATTCCATTCATTTGAGCAACATACTTCCAATTTGTTCCAGCTATTTTTTTGATGTCATCTACCCATCCCATCTGTGGTCTTCACGGTAGTCTATAACTACCTCACCTTTGCCTTATACCTTTGCTTGGTCTCCAATGTTGTAGTGCTGGTCCGTTGGTGATGTTATAACGTTGGTCTTTTTGTCTGCAATTTTTGTTGTCATAACCTCGACTTTTGTTTTTGATCTTACCCAGTCATTCCTCTTTTTACCTGACAGTCCTATACTTTACATTGCCCTTTTCATTTCCCTTTCTCTTGTGGTTAGTTTGTTCAAATTTTCTTTGGTTCGGGTACACGTTTGACATCTATATCATAATAGGATAACTGGTTGAACACTTTGCTGGAAGGAATTGGAAGGGATTTTTCCTTTCCAAGTTTCCTAGTGATTTGGTTCTTTTTGTCAAGTTTCAGATTTTGCCTAGGTAGATATATTTTTGGACTTCTTCTTCTCCTTCTTCCTCTTTATAAGCAATACTGCTTGTTCATCTACGGATTGATACCCTTTGGAAGATTATCACTCCATTTTTTGCGCAGTCGTCCGATACTTCTTCTACCTATTGGTGATTTATTTTTTGATTGATTATTCTATTATTCTTGGACTTGTTCTTATTGGTATTTATAGATATACGTCTGGAGTCGTCTGAGTTTGTCATTGTTTTTGTTTTTGGCATATTCATTTTTAGGCTTATCGATGTTTTGAGAGCTGTCTGCTACTTCCTTCACCATATTTTTTCACCATATACTCGAATCATCATCATCATCAATCAGCCAATCGCGTCCACTGCTGGACATAGGCCTCCCTCAGTTCTTTCCAGTGTTCTCTACACTGGGCCGCTTGTAGCCAGTTTCCCGCTACACGTTTTATATCATCGGTCCATCTAGTCGGTGGTCGTCCTCTGCTTCTTTTATAGTTTCTGGGCCTCCATTCCATAATACGTCTTGTCCACCGTCCATCTTGTGCTCTGGCTAAGTGCCCTCGAATATGCTATATAAAATCAGGATGCCGTCATCGAATCTGATGTAGTTAAACTTGTTGTAATTATCAATGATGCTGTGTATTGACCAACTTGTAATTTTTAAGACGTCTTGTAGGTCAAGATTAAACAGCTTTGGCGATATCTCGTCTCCTTGTCGAACTCTTCTCTTATAAGAATATCGAAAGTACTTATTGCATGGCATTGCCGTTTCTTTTTAATTCCATTATTTTATGGTATACATGCATTAAATATTTATGTACACTATTCTAGTTTGTGTCGCATCCAAACATTCAACAACTGCTAGCAGCTATTTGGTACGAAGGTGTTCCAGGTTTTCGAAGAAAATCATCAAAAGAGAAAATAATGATCACTGTGAGGGTAGCAGTATTATTTCCGTTCTACTGTATGCTGTATATGATTGCACCAGAAACACATACAGGAAAACTGATGAGGAAACCGTTCATGAAATTCTTGATACATGCATCATCGTATTTATTTTTTCTATGTAAGTTATTTCACACTATATTTATATTACTTATGAACAATAACTATCATGTAGTAAACAGTTTGGATGTGAACAGTTTGGATGTGAATTATTTTTAAAACGAAGCTGTTGACTAGATATTATATTTCTAGAATGATCAGACGCAACCCATTTACAACCACTTTCAGATAATGAATGCTGATTCAAGTAGGAAGAACTAAATGAAAAACTATCCAATAAAATAAATAAAAACACGGTTGAGTCTATGGTATCACATCTAATATCTGTTTCTCAATAAAAAATCTGATTATTTATAAAAATTTTATTGTATTGAGTACTTCAGATTTTCAGGTTTACTGAATGTTTTCAGTGCTACTCATTTTGGTGTCACTTAGAGCTGATGACTTGGTCTTAGAACATTTTGGATCAGATTCCATGAAAGCATATGTAATAGAGAAATATGAAAAACAAAGAGGCAATCCTCCGACTATTCTGGAATATGCTGTTCTTCTATATGTCATAGGTAATTTTTACTGACAACTGTATAACATGTTCTTTTATTTAGTTTATTAAATATTAAAACTGGGTAAATTTTTATTATTTTAACAAGCTATTAAAATATTTCTGCAAGAAGGTTTAAGGAGAATCTTTTTCTTGAAATTTTTATAGAAATTTCTATAGATTTCTAGAATTTTCTAGAAATTAAAAGATCTAGTTATAATAAAGATATTTTTGTGATAGTTAACAGTTTGAAAACTGACAAAAAAACTGTTACAATACGATTTCAAATGGTTATACTCAACATTATATTAACATTGAAATACATTTTCAGGTTTCATTTTCGAAGAGACTCAGGAAATATTCGTTGAAGGAATTAAATCCTATCTAAGAAACTTATGGAACTTTATTGATTTCACTAGAAACGTATTATATACAGCAGTGTTCTTACTGCGTGTGGCTTCGTACTTTCAGCAGGCGGCTGAGATTAAAAACGATCCGTCCACAGCGTACATCAGAAGAGAAGAATGGTATGCTTTTGATCCGCAGCTCATTGCTGAGGGTTTGTTCGCGGCTGCAAATATTTTTAGGTAAGTATGGGATTCGTTTATTATTTTACAACTTACTCTTCAGGTGAACCACTTGAAGGTTATAATAATTGGCCTAAATGAAACGGTTATTTAAAGTACATATTTCTTCGTTAATCACATCGTTCATCACAAATCGGAGTTTTGCTGTTTTATGTGCTTCTTGTCTATTTGTGGCTAAATACCACAATATTCATACTATTTAGCCTCTCAGATTTTCGTTGGTGTTTCTTACAAGAACTACAAAGATTACAATTATTATATTTCTTTACTAGTATCTATAGTCTAACAAGCTATCTAAGAGAGTCATGAATATTCAGCTCAGCGAGATGCTATTGTTCAGAGGTGTGAACTTCTATAAGCAAGGGGTCTACCTGTTTTATGAAATGATCTCTTGTTTTATAATTTTACACCTCTAACAATAGCACCACGCTAAGCTGAATATTAATGAGTCTCTTAGATAGCTTTTTAGACTATAGGTACTAATATTTTACCTTTTCCTATCCTCTCCAATATTTTGAATTTGTTTCTGGACTTACTTCAATATTTAGATCAAGCAGCTTATGTTATTAACAATTTAGTATGTTTTTGTTATGAATTGAGGTAGTGAAAATAAAAAATCGATAGAGGTTACGTACATAATTGACGTAAAATTAAGTAATAGCTTCGGAGTAAGAACTTAATGTTCTCTTTTATTTTAGTGCCTTAAAACTAGTCCATCTCTTTTCAATCAATCCTCACTTGGGACCATTGCAGATATCTTTAGGTCGAATGGTTATCGACATTGTCAAATTCTTCTTTATATACTCATTAGTTTTATTCGCCTTTGCATGTGGTAAGTAAAAATGTTCTATATTATCTAAAATTTTTGATAATATTGTAAATATATTAGCAAATCTCTACCTTAATTAGCAGACCTTATAACTCCAGGATAGTAAATTTTATAGGAGACAAATAAAAACTTTAAATTTTATTTATATTAGCAGTCATATTTTTGGTTTGAAATAAATCAAATATATATTTGTATTCGTTAACTCAAATAAGTAATTGTAATTTTATTTTATTTTATAATTTTTTTACGGACTTAGGAGTTTTGCACACACACTATATATGAGAAACGTGATTTTCCAACATTTATTTGTTAAAATGAAAAAAAAGAGTGATCCAGAAAATAAGTCTTTTTTATGTTTATTAATACAAAAATATATTTTTAACCCAACAAATTTTAATAAAGTTATAATACTAAATCAAAAACATAAATTTTACAAACTACAGTAAAATTTAACACAAACAAGGTGTTTAATCGTGATGAATGGCAGCATAAAAGGGATGAAAATCTGGTTCCAAAATGAATGTTAAGGATTGTAAATCAAGATACTTCCTATATTTAATCGATAGTCGTTTGGTGTAAAGACTTGGAAGATTGTGAAGTGTCGTTGGATTAATTAATTTGTTTTTTGTTTGGGATAGATTTTTCCATTCATCAGAAAAATTCAATTTGAATTGAATTGTTTGATTAGGTAAATACTTCAATCCACGTATATCGACAACACTAGAGTCCACTAAGTTTGCCTGGCCTAATGCTAATATAAAATAAATGACAATCAAAATTTATGAAATATTTGTAATCCAAATACTTCACTGTATATGGAGAAAGGCATTTTCTGGCCTCTTTACAGATTGTTATATAATCTGCTGGTACACGAACTGTTTTATTTTTTAACTTTCGTTAAATGTAGCAGTGCATTGAGTCGGCATCCATTTGTGTGTGACCGACTTATAAGAACTTTTGTTCAATTATTACATTGTTCGTAGATGAAATATGAAGAAGCGAATTGGCTAGTGTACAGCAACGGTTTTGGTACGAACAGCCGTCGATGCACAAAACAATTTTTTCCTTTCCCTCAGGTAAGGCAGGTTTGATAAAACAAAATCTTAAATTATTGTTGAAAACTCGTTGGAAGTCAAACCGCCCTCTGTATCATTCTAGATGAAACAGAATCTTTCCGTGGTGTTAATGTTATAAATTGTAAAGTTTGGACAGACAACTTCATTTTATAGTAGAGAGAATATACTGAAGATTTAGGGGAAAGTAATAATGTGTTGAGTCTGCTTTATCTACATCTTTTGTATCCTTGCTTCATCTTTCTTAAGAATATGCGTTTCATACTCGTCTTGACTCAAATTCCCATTTTAAAAGACTCGCAAATACCGCAAGCATCTTTTTTGGGTTGATAAATAAAAAAATTTTGATCAAAAATTTGTGAAAACCTACATTGTAACAACGGAGTTACATTTTGTTTTTTGCACCAATTATCTTCATAAAACGTGTACACGCTTCTTTTTGATTGCCAGCCAGGCTCAAGATATAACTTCGATGACCTCTTGCAGCAATAATGCGATTCAACTTTGGGTATATAATATATAATAAGGTTCTTGAACTCCTAAGTGGAGCATAGAGCTTCAGTGAAAACGCGCCATCGGGTTCTATTTTGCGCTAAGGCCTTCACCTCATTCCAAGACTTTCCTTGTTTTCTTATCTCGTCCATGATGGATCTTCTCCAAGTTTGTACTGGGCGACCTTTTTTTCGTTTTCCTTGGGGATTCCACTCTAGGGCAGTCTTTGCAATACTGGAGTTATTTTTTCGGAGTGTGTGACCGATCCAACCCCACTTTCTGGACTTTATTTCATTTACTACCCTCTTTTGTTTGGTCAGGTGTAGTAAGTCTTCGTTTCTGATGATGTTAGGCCAGAAAATACGAACAATTCTTCGTAGACATTTATTAACAAAGACCTGCAGTTTGTCTGTAAGGGTTTTTGTCGCTTTCCAGGTTTCACATCCGTAAAGTAGTACAGACATGACATTTGACTGGAATATGCGGATCTTTGTCCTCGTAGTGTATTCTCCAGACCTCCAAACAGGGTTGAGCATGCTGAAAGCTTGTTGCGCTTTTCGTATCCTCATACGAATATCGTCTTCTGTACCTCCGCTTTCTGTTATGACACTTCCAAGATACGTAAAGTTTTCCACATTTTCAATCTGCATGTTATTAATGGTGAATAGCGTGTTGTTTCTTGCATTTATTCTCATGGATTTGGTTTTACCAATATTGATTTTCAAACCTATTTTATTGGCTTCAGTGGAAAGTGTTTCCAATTGGTCAGCCACATCTTGGAACCTTTGTCCTAACAGGCAGATATCGTCGGCGTATTCTAGATCGCTTAGGCGTGTGGTTAACGTCCATTGTATCCCTCTTGTGTCAGAGTCTAGTTTGGAGAGAACATAGTCTAGAGCTATGTTAAAAAGAAACGGAGAAAGCACGCATCCCTGTCTGACTCCAGTAAGTACGTCAAATTCGTCACTGTTGATCCCATTGTGTGTCACGCTGCATTTCGCTTCAGTGTACAGTAACTTTATAATGGAAATTATTTTATGCGGGATGTTTCTTAGCTCTAAAATTTTCCACATTGCATCATGAGATAAGCTGTCAAAAGTACGCTCGAAATAAACAAAAACCATGTATAGGGGTGTGTTCCATTCAACCGATTGTTCCATTATTAGCCTCACAGTATTAATGTGGTCTATGCAGGAGGATTCTGGTCTAAAGCCTACTTGATTAGCTCGAAATTCAACCTTGTTTGTTAATCTTTTAAGTATGATGGTCGTGAAGATTTTATTTATGGCGGTAAGCAAGGTTATTCCTCTCCAATTTTTGCATAGTGTGAGGTTGCCCTTTTTTGGAAGCTTAGTAATGATGCCTTTTTTCCAGCCCGCTGGAATGCGGTTTGTTTCCCACACCTCTCGGATTATGGGGAGCAAAAGTTCAGCAGTTAGATGCGGATCAGTTTTAAGCATTTCGGCAGCAATGTTATCGATTCCCGGAGACTTGTTATTTTTCAGAGATTTGATAGCTGTTATTATCTCTGTTTTGGAAGGGGCGTCGCAAGATATACGCAAGTCTATATTCTGTGGATTTTCGACAATTTCATCTGCGTTATCCCTGGGCGTGCCTAGCATCTCCTGAAAATGCTCTTTCCATCTCTCTATTTGGTCATTTGTTGTAGTAAGTAGTTCTCCTGTCTTGGATCTTACGACGTTTGAACAGTTGGGCCCTCTTTTTGTTAGACGTCTAGTAATTTGGTATAGCTCTCTAGTTCTATTGTGTTGTGCAGCTATTTCGGCTTGTTTTGCCAGTTCTTCAGTCCATCTTCTTTTGTCTCTTCTTGCATTTCTTTTAACTGCTTTATTTATTGTTTCATATTCTTGTTGTCGGTTCGCTCTTTCTTCTACAGTTCTTGCTTGCAGAATATCTTTTTTTTGCTGTTTTCTTTCTTCGATAAGATTCCAAGTTTCATCTGATATCCATTCTTTTCTATGTTTCTCTTTTTTACCGAGTTTATCTTCAGCTATTTCTGTCAAAACATTTGCCAGATCTTCCCAGCTATTTACTTCACGTTCTCTTCTTTTGAGTTGAAGTTCCTCCCTAAACATGTGTCTTCCTGTAGCCGTTTTTAATTTGTCTAGATTGTATGTTGGTCGTTTGGTGTTTCGTGTGATTTTGTTTTTTGCTATTTTGATTTTAATGGTACCGATTACAAGATGATGGTCACTTGCGATGTCTGCTCCTCTTTTGTTACGTACATCAAGGAGAGATGATCTCCATCTTTTTGATATGGCGATGTGGTCTATTTGATTTTCTCTTATATGACCTGGTGCAGTCCATGTAACCTTGTGAATATTTTTATGTGGGAAGATAGATTCAACTTTGGGTAACCCAACCAAAAATGTTTCAAGTGATTCCATTTCTTTGGGTTTTCTAGGTTTTTTTTAATTAGATTCGACAGAGTTCTCATCATCATTAAGTGTAATTTTATGATCATTTGCTGGATCATCTCGATTTCTACCTTATGTTGCTAATTGCCAGTATAAAGCAGTCCATTCACCGATAGCTGGAAGGAACATGTTCTTGCGAACACGAACTGCAGAACCATTTTGTTTAAGAAAATTTTGGCAAGAGTTTTTTCTTTTACTCTCTGTCACTGATTTTCGGTCTAGAGCCCTAACAGTGTTAGATTTTTGAGTCAAACACCTCAGAAAAGCTTTTTCTCTGGCCAATCCATTTTCCAAAACCCTTCAAAATTTTCTTTTCTATCATCTTATGTGAGTCTTCACTGGATTATACTATTATTTTTTCTGCTGCACTTGCATCTTTGTTTCACTACTCTAGCAGTTTTTTTTATATTATACACATACGGGCCATTTTTTGTTTTTCTTTTACCGCAATATTCCTTTCCTAATTTTCTGGCTGTTATATATTTGCTAATGTTCCAAGTTTGCTCCATTAAATCATTATTAGAAACTCACTAATTTTACATGGTACAGGTTAGGTTTAAAAATTAAATTGTTTTGTACTTACTTTTCGATATTTAAAGTTCAAAAGAGCATTTAAATAACATCAAAATGCAACAACAATAAAAGCCTAGTCTAGCAATCAGCCTAGATGCTTTTCATACAATAACATCATGACAACTGGGAGTTAGAAGTTGTGCCAACATGAAAATGACAGACTTGAGTTAAGAGGTACGCTAATTCCTTAATATAACACAGAATATTTTTTTTTGGGTTCGGAGATTTGTCAGTCTGTAGAGAATTGATTTCTTTGAGCTTGCTATTAAAAAGTGGTTTTCACCAAAATAGGAAGTTAACAGGTTTGCTAATCAGGGTATCGAAATATTATATGTTATTTATCAAACAAGTACAGAAATAGTCTACTATATCACTTTGTAGTGATTTAAATTTTTAAAAATTTCAGGCCTTAATCAACTATTATGGTACTTCTCTGACTTGGAGAAAAAGAAGTGCTATCACCTACCAAATGGTGAACCAGATTTTGATGGAGCTGCAGATGCCTGTATGAAATGGAGGCGATTTGCAAAGTAAGTATGTACTGATAAGAGCTACCATAATATTTTGGTAACACAAGTATTAAAACACGATTCTTACTTTTTGTAATTTAATTTGACCGTTTTTTTTTTCATTTCAGCGTCTTTGAGTCGTCGCAGTCACTATTTTGGGCTAGTTTTGGAATGGTTGACCTTTCCAGCTTTGAGCTAACTGGAATTAAAACATATACCAGATTCTGGGGTCTTTTAATGTTTGGTTCATACAGTGTGATCAATGTGATCGTACTATTGAACCTTCTTATAGCTATGATGTCGAATTCGTACGCTATGATAGATGTATGTATATTATAAATCATTCTAAATATGTCGTTTTACTTTTGATTAAATAAAATTTTTAGGAACACTCAGATACAGAGTGGAAATTTGCCAGAACGAAGCTCTGGATGAGTTATTTCGAAGAAACTGGAACACTGCCCCCACCTTTTAACATTTTCCCCAAACCAAAGATGTTCTTCAAGCTTTTAGGATTAAGGAAGAAGGACAAAATGAGAAGAATGTCGACTAAGGTATCTGTCATTTGATCTCAGTAAATATCAAAATAATTTTTTGGTTATTTAAGAGAAGAAATCGAGAAGAAAAAGAAAGGGACTACAGATATACAGCAGTTATGAGAGCTCTTGTGTGGAGATACGTGTCAGCCATGCACAGGAAATGTGATGAGGCAATGGTTACTGAGGACGATGTAAACGAACTGAAAAGTGATATTTCTTCCTTTAGATATGAAATACTAGAGGTTCTTGGAAAGAATGGAATGGATATTTCATCCGCAGAGAGGAAAGAAAAAGGTAAGTAATCAAATTGTTATATACGAATCTAATATCAGCTATTTTTTTAGATCAATGAAAAAAATATGAGCGTGTCTTTCTTTACTCCTAAATTTTCCATTCATATTTATGAAAATGAAAAGTGCATATGTTGTTAATCTACCTTTACATAAGTTGTTTTTACATATACCTTTCCATATTTTCTTGTATAAAATTTCTTGGTGTGATCACAAAGGGCTCTATGTGTTCTCAAATTTCTTACATGAAGTTCTTCTTGAAGTATTTATATTGCAGTATCCATAATATTACTCTAACAAACTTTAAACCTGGATGAGTATAGAAAAGAACAATTCCAGGATCAAGTATGTGTACCTTGCAAACAGGTGTTCAGGTGTTTTGAAGAACACAACAGAGAACTTTAAAATCTATTTGGATAGAAATAAATTTATTGTCGTGCCAATGGAAATAGACAGAATTTTGAATAAAGGGAAAATAAAGGGCACCGCCGCGCGCCGTGTCTTTTTTTAGAGAGACAAGGAAAACCCATAGAGATTGTAACCATAAGAATTTTAACTTTTTATGAACAATTTATATACACCAAAGAAAAAATACAATTATACACTTACCTTGTATGACCGCTATATATTCCTGTAAGAACCATCCTATTATTTTCCAAAAGAAGGAGAAACCATGAGAGTTTAACAACTTTTATTTCTGATGTTGTGACGGTGGAAAGTTCAGCCAAGTAAAAGTTAATACGGGAATATCAATATTATGCAACTTATACTACGGGGAAAGGACTACAGAAAGAGGCGATCAGAAAGAAGAAGAATATCTTGGCTCCAGAATTTACGAAAATGGTTTTCCTTGACCACTTCAGGACTATTTCGAGCTGCGGTCAATAAAGTTAGAATTGCCATGCTAGTTGCCAACATCCGTAACGGATAGGCACCACAAGAAGAAGAAGATCAATATTATAATGGGACTTTTACTTTTTAAATTGGAAAAAAGACAATTTTTAAATATTAAACAAAAAAACTATTCTATCTATGGTCCTATTTATTCTATTCATTGTTACACAAATGTTTTTGTGGTATACAAAAAATATTTTTTGACACTTTTAGTTGTTTTTCAAAGGGCGTCTTCCGAAAGATGCATTTTAATTTGGGAGACACTTTTTTGCATTACTTTAACAATTTTTTTTAATTCCAACGGGATTGAATTCGTGAGACTTAAACTTTTAAATAAACCTTTAAAAATTTATTTTTTTTACATTTTTAAGGTCTTTATACGCGATTTTATTGTTCGAAAAAACGCTTGTTTTAGGGGGGGGGGGATTTGCCCCTGTAGGTATTAAAAAGGTGGAGATGTTTTTTTAACTGTTAAGAGATTTATTTAGTAGTCGTATATATAAATTATCAAAGGTTTACTGAGATTGGTGTAGCAGATTTTCAGAAAGAACGTCTCCTAGTTTTAAGAAATGTGATTTCGAGAAAAACGCATTTAAAGTATTTTACTGTAATTTTCTTGCATAAAATAGCCATATTTATTTTTTACCTCTAATGGTGATTCCTGGTGCATACTGGATGCCCTTCCTGTCCAGTTTAAGCTGTAAATGGTTGGTCAAAGCTTTTTCTCATAATTCTGCCCGATTTTGATGTCTCACTGCTTCTTCTATTGGCTTAAGCAATCTGAGCTTCGTCGATATTTTTCAACCAACTCTTTGCTAATTCTAATTTTTATTTTTATTCCTTGGAAGTGGAACTCAGCGGTGGTAGTGCACGTGTACTGAGCATTGGCGGGACGGTAGCAAAAGCTGTCAATGTATATCGTTACAAACATATTAAAAGCGAAACCTATATGGTAGAAGTGCAATGAAATATATCGACAGTAATAAAACGCTCGTCCTGAGCGTCACATAGTTTCAGATCCATAGTTCGAATAATTCAAGGGATGTTCGGATAGACGTGGACAAAAACCTTTTGTCAATAGGAGAAGAAAGCTTCCTTAATCGGAATGTGCAGGCTTAGGTAGTTACTTAGTCAAATATTGTCTAAACTCAATTCAGTGGATATTTGGTCAATAACTGGGTTTTTGAAAAATATTTTGCTAATGGCCAACAGAGTGTTGGCCTCGCAAAAATTGGCGAGGGAAAATGCTACCCTAATGTAGGACCATATGGGCTTGGTGAACGAAACGACAGAGGAGATCGCCTAATAGAGTTTTGCCAGGAGCACAATGTTATAGCCGCAAATACATTCTTCAAATTACCTAAGCGACGCCTTTATACATGGAAATCGCCAGCTGACAAAGACAACAAAATCGTCAGAAATCAAATTGATTACTTCCTAATAAAACACAGATATCGAAACTCAATTCAGGCAGTAAAGGCATATCCAGGAGCGGACGTATCTTCTGATCATAGTCCTCTTATTGCTAGATTTCAACGTCAACTAAAAAAGACACAAAAAAGCCGCAATAACAATAAACTTAACATACAGAAACTAAAGTCAGAAGAAACAAAAGAAAATCTAAAACACGAAATCAACACAAATCTATACAGAAACCCAGGAAATAACTGCAACGTAGAGCAGCAGTGGCAATTCTTCAAAACCTCTATATTGGAGCCAAGTAAGAAACTACTTACAACAACTAAATATAAGAAAGAAGAATGAATGGACAAATAAGAAGAAAAATTAGGGAGGCTAAAGAGACCTACTTCTCTGAAAAATGTAAAGAAATAGAAGAACTTCAAAACAGATATGACAACTTTAACCTACATAAAAAAGTCAAAGAACTAGCCGGAGTAGGAAATAGAAGAACCTCAAATATATTGCTCGACAAAAATGGAAATATTATATTGGAAACAGAACAAAAACTACGACGATGGAAAGAGTACATCGAAGAATTATTTCATGACCAGAGAGAAGCTAGTACATCTGTAGATAGCCAAACGGGAGATGTAGGTCCAGAGATAACCAAATCAGAGGTTAGTCAGGCATTAAACTCAATGAAAACCAATAAATCTGCTGGTCCAGATGAATTACCAAGCGAGCTACTAAAGTTGGTCAACGAGAAAAACCTGGACATAATAGTAGAACTATTCAACGCTATCTATACTACGGGAATCATTCCTAGAGAAATGTTGACATCAGCATTTGTGTGTTTGCCAAAGAAGATGAATGCCAAAGAGTGTAATGACTATCGAACCATAAGCTTAATGTCACATACCTTGAAAATTCTCTTGAAAATTATCCACGCCAGAATACACTCTAAACTGGAGCTGGATATTAGTGACACTCAATATGGGTTCCGCAATGGTATGGGTACCAGAGAGGCATTATTCTCCTTCAATGTGCTGACACAGAGATGTTTGGATGTTAACCGTCCTCTTTACGCCTGTTTTATAGACTACAATAAAGCGTTTGTTAAAGTAAAACATGATCGACTCCTGGAAATTCTAAAAAATAAAAACCTAGATGAAAGAGATTTAAGGCTAATAACATACCTCTATTACAATCAGCGAGCAATAGTAAGAATCGAAAAAGAAACATCTGAAGAAATGGAAATAAAGAGAGGAGTCAGGCAAGGCTGCATTCTATCACCTCTATTATTTAACGCCTATTCTGAAGAGGTAATTCGAGAAACTCTGGAAGATGAAACAGTCGGCATAAGAGTAAATGGAGTCTTAATTAACAACATCAGATATGCAGATGATACAGTAATAATAGCCGATAGTTTACAAGACCTGGAAAGACTCATGAACAAAATAGTCATGTGTAGTAGGGAGTACGGACTCTCTCTTAATGTCAAAAAGACGAAGTTTATGAAAATTTGTAAAAACAACTATAATACTAACGAAATCTTGATAGTAGAGGGCCAGCAGATCGAAAGAGTAAAAAAGTACACTTACCTAGGAACACTTATAACAGAAAATAATGACTACACGGCAGAAATCAAAGTCAGAATCGAAAAAGCACGTTCTAATTTTATAAAAATGAAAAAGGTCCTATGTGGCAAAGATCTAACATTAGCTCTTAAAGTACGCCTAACAAAATGTTACGTATACAGTGTACTATATTATGGAGTGGAATCATGGACGTTAAATCTACATACCATGAGACGACTTAACGCCTTTGAGATGTGGACCTATAGAAGAATTATGAGGGTTTCCTGGGTAGATAGAGTTACAAACAATGAAATACTGAGAAGAATAGGCAAAGAGAAGGAAATTGAACTTACAATTAAAGAAAGAAAGCTACAGTATCTCGGACATGTGATGCGGGGCGATAAGTATGGCATCCTGCGACTCATAATGCAAGGAAAAATAGATGGCAGAAGAAGCATCGGAAGAAGACGAATTTCATGGCTGAAGAACCTGAGAGAATGGTTTGGATGCAGCTCAAAACAACTATTTAGAGCTACTGCCTCAAAAATTAAGATAGCTATGATGATTGCCAACCTCCGTAGCGGAGATGGCACCTGAAGAAGAAGAACAGAGTGTTGTGGTTTCAACAGAGTAATTATAGAAAATACTATTTATACTGTAGAATGATTATTACTCTCAGTAATTTTGTTTACCCTATGGTCATCGTCAGGTCCCCGAGGGTTCTTATCATATTTTTCATTTTTTTCCAAGTAAATATCCATACTATATTATTGTAAGTTAGTATTAGTTTCTTTAGTTGTTTGATCTTAGTTTGTCAATATATAGTTTCCGTGCTGTTATTTACTCCATATCGCCCATTAAGTTAAGATCGTGCAATATTAAGTCTCGGTCGGACCCAGCACTCTCTAAGAGATACTGTTCTAAAGCAGTGCAGTCACACTACCCAATTTTAGATAGAACTGCAACCGAGACATAGTTATATTGAGCCATCTTACTGAAAGAAATTATACAAGTAAATAGTTAGTATCCCACGCCCATTACAGTAGTCCTCATCCGAAAACCCGAACTGAGGGTTAGTTTGTTCAGGAACATTTTACTTCAGAAATGCTCTCATTTTAATATAATTTTGGTTTTTGTTATGTTAATGGTTTTATGCTTATGCATCTTTCATGATGATAATACAATCAAAATGCAGAACTATCTTCTTTCATTTTCTATAAAGGCCACGATCCATACTCTATACATCATCATCATCAATTAGCCTAAATTTGTCCACTGCTGAACGTAGGCCTCCCGTAAAATGTTCCACCTATTTCTATCTTGAGCTTCTTGCATCCAGTTTGTGGTGATGCGCTTGATATCATCCGTCCATCTAGTCGGTGGTCGTCCTCTGCTTCGATATGCATCTTACCTTGGTCGTCCTTCCAGAATCTTTCTGGTCCATCTGTCATCCGTTAATCTGGCAACATGTCCGACCCAAGCCCATTTAGTCCTGGCTATTTTTTCATTTGCATCTGTGACTCCTGTTCTTCTTCTTATTTCTAGGTTTGGTACTTTATCTCTGGTAATACCTAAAATTGATCTTTCCATGGAGCGTTGTTTAACTCTTATTTTATTTATTGTACTTTTTGTCAGAGTCAGTGTTTCTGCACCATATGTAGAACCAGTAAAACGCACTGGTTAAAAACCTTTGTTTTTAAACATACTGGGATACTAGACTTGAAAATGTTATTCAATCTACCATAGGCAGCCCATATGAGACCTATCCTTCTTTGTATTTCAGTTGTCTGATTATCTCGGCTAAGCGAATCTCATACCCTAGATATTTGTAAGCTATTACTTGGTTGATGCTATGGCTCCCAATCAGAATTTTACCGCTGACTACAAGGTTGGTCATAAATTTTGTCTTTGAGGTGTTAATTTTAAGACCAATTGTTTTTGACACTTTAGAGAGCGTGTGCAGCATTTTTGTAGCTTTATCAACTCGATCAGATATTAAAACGATGTCATCGGCAAATCTTAGGTGGTTCAGATCTTCCCCATTTATATTAATTGCCATATTATCCTCTAGTTCCATTTGCTTGAACATATATTCAAGAACAGCTGTAAACCACTTAGGGGAGATAGTATCACCCTATCTAATTCCACGTTCTATTCGAAACTTCTTGGTATCTTCATGAAGGCGGACACAAGCTGTACCAGTTTCGTAAATACGTTTAATCAAGGCAATATATCGTTAGTCAATGCGGCAGTCAGTCAATGCTCGAAGCATTTTATGATGATCTATATCTATAGTATCGAACGCCTTTTCATAATCTACGAATATAAGAAAGATAGGCTTGTTATACTTTGTACACTTTTCTATTAGCGTTTTTACAACTTGTAGATGATCATTTGTTCCGTATCTGGAGCAGAACCCAGCCTGTTCACAAGGTTGATAAAAATCCAATTTGGTCACAAGCCATTTGTTATTATCTTCATCAATAGTTTGTATGTATGAGAGAGCAAACTAATAGGTCTGTAGTTCTTTAGGTCTGAAATGTCACCTTTTCTGTGCATTATGGTTATTATTGCATTATGCATATTATATATTGCATTATATACTCTACACACACTGCCCTGTAAACTAATGTATTCTTGCCAGTATCCAGTATATACTTGTGTTGAAAAACATACTAATTTTTTTTCTGTATTTTTTAGCAATATTGGGTAAAAAGATGAAAGTTTGGGAAAGGCGACTAATGAAAGACTTCAAAGTAGCTCCAATATCTCAAGAAGAAGATGAAGATTTAGAGTTATTTGCGCCTCCTCCAGAAAATGAAGGCTCCTTGGCCAGGTAAGATCATTTAATTGTGTATAAGCATTCGAAATGATGACGTATTCTAAAAATATCAAGGATTGATCGCAAAACAAACGCACAAGTTCTCGAACAACTAGGAAAATAATGTTTTAGGACTGGGAAATTTTAAATTCCATAAAAATCGGAAAGTTGAAATGCTTGGGGCACATTATGAGAGGTGAAAAATACAAAGTATTAAAGAATACAATTTAGGGCAAAACCAAAGGCAGAATAAGCGTAAGAAGATGTAAAATCTCGTGGCTACGCAATTTTTGTGAATGTTTTGGATTCAGCTCAATTAAACTATTCAGGCGAGTAACCAATAAAATTATACGTACCGGAATGATTTTCAATCTCGTATAGGAGCGGAAATTGAAAAAAAGAAAAGTTGATCGACATATGATCTGAGAAATAATGATCGTTCGATCGGCTAGCATGCTGTTGACTATTCGAGCGGTAGATTTACAGGAGATTGTACGGAGGAGCTTGTATATCATGCCTTCTCTTCAGCCTGCATCGTAGGCCGCTGTTAGATCTATGAATGCGGCTGCAGTTTTAAGTTTTCTTTGGAACCCTGCCTTAATAAATGTGGTAAGTGAAAGAACCTTATCTGCGCAGCGTCTTTGCAGTCGAAAACCTACCTGATCAACCGGTACTGATTCAAGTAGCTTTGGACTAATTCTGTTGTAGATAAGTCGTTCTAGTAGCTTTAACATTGCCGATAGTAGGGCTATTGGTCTGTAGTTCTTAGGGTTGTTATCATTTCGTTTTCCTGGTTTTAATATGGTATTGATCAAACGAGCGTTTGAGTTTCTGTGGTATGGTACCAGTCTTCATAATGTCTGTGAAAAGTGGGCCATCTAGTCTCTCGCATATTTGCCGCTGTTAATTAAGAATTCGGAATGAATATTGTCAAACCCTGGGGCTTTACATCTTTTAGAGATATAGTGACTTTTTCGCAAGTGAAAGAGCGAGAGTATTCGGTTTTTGCAGATTGGAATTTTAAAGTTTTGAGCTCTCGTTTCACCTTGATTGTGTGTGGCTTGTCTTGCGGGTAAAGAAGTAAAGAAGTAGAAGAAATAGTTATTTTTAATCTCTTAAATATTTACTGTTTATTATTTGCAGATTTCGAAGAATAGCCAAACTAGCGGTCCTGGATACGAACACCATTAAGTGGAGACAAGTAGTGAAGAGTGCTCAGATAGCGTAAGTACCAATAATCAAGATCTAACCTAACCAGCAATGATATAGGTAAACTTTATCTAAATAAATTTTTCGTAGGTCTCAAATTGGTCGATGCCATAGAAAAGATTCTTTAAAGAAACAGATGAATTTACAACGAGCAATCGAGGAAGCACGACGGATAACGTCAAAGAGCCCTGAGAACCTATCAAGAGCAACTACTCCAGTAACTCCTATAATGTTACCAGATCTGAGTGGATCCGAAATGATGGGATTAATTACTGGAGGTAAGAAATCCTGCTATAAAAATTATTTTTTAGTTATTTAGTATACTTTGGGTTTTTAGAAAAAGGAAAGAAGATATATGCTTTGAGTCCAAATATAACAGTAAAAAAAATCACACCAACAGCAGCTACACCTACCATCTCAATTGATCCACCTAAAACCAATGTTACAAAAGAAACATCTAGTCCTGCATTTTCAAAACTTAATAAAGAAGAGAAAGATCTTATTGAATTTGAAAGCGCCAAAGCTTCTCCAGTGCCAAGCATGAAACAATCTGAAGATTCGTCTTCGTCTGACTCCCTAGATCAAATCCTCAAGGATATTAACATATCAGAAACTGACTATTCACAGGATACTATTACCTCACCTCCAATAATAGTGTCCCCTCCTCTGGAAGAGTCTGGAAGCCCAGGAAAAAAATCTATTGATTCCTACATTGACCCGAAACGTAAAACTAATGTTGAAGATGTGCTTGGTGAGGACTGGAATCTATCAGAAGATGAAAAGTCAATTGAAGATATACCAAAAGAAGATGTCATATCTATACCTAGACCGACCAGTCCCATACCTAAAGTATTATTAAAAGATCCACAGTCCCCTAAGAAAAGCAGCCTTAAAGGAAGTCCAAGCAGGAGTCCTGCTCCCTTAGAATTAAAATCCATGTCTCCAAGTACACCAAAACAACCAAAGAGTCCAAAACGTACTCCAGAACCACCCAAGAGCCCAAAATCTACTTCCGATCCTATAGAATCCCCAACACCTATTAGTCCACCTAAAAAATGTAGTCCAACAAGAAAAACACCAGAACCAATCGATGTAGAAGCTACTGTAGCTAGTCCAGTTAAAGAATCAGTTATACGAAGATCACCTAGTCCAATTCACACACCAGAATCGGTGGAAAAGGAAACCTTAGATTTTAAAGAAGTAGAATCTTCTACTGAAGATGTTAATAAATCCATAGATGGCGATATAATTGCTAATGAACAAGTTTCCAAGACCAAAGAAGATACAAATACTGAAGAGAAGGTTGAAAAATCCAGTTCAGAATTAGAGTCAGAAGCAGATGCAGAGGTAGCAGCTTTAACTCAGGAAGGACAATCTGAGTATGAAAGTAAGAAGACTCCAGAAAAAGTCAAATCTGGACCAAAGCATGTTGTAACGTTTGCAGACGTAAGTAATAGTACCAATTTTACTTTTTAAAATCTGATAGCTATAATATTTATTGTAGGAAAAAGAAAAACTACAGACTCCGCCACCGGTGACTTCCGCTATGTCTCCCCTAGCGCTACGAAATATTCAGCGAGTTCATACTACGAAATCACAACCAAAATATGGTTGGTTATAAAAACTTACAACCTAGATCACCGTAAAGAATAAAAATATCGATTATTTGTTCGAATGGGCCCTTTCAAGAGTGCCTTGTTTAAATTTTGGTTTTTTATAATAATTTCATATATCTTCTATTATATCCCATATTCTAGCTACCGAGTCTAAAAGTTAAACAAGAGTTATTCCACTGCTTCAATCGGAAGTAATCATTCAGCAACTGTTAACATATAGTTTTTATTTGTCTATAACTAGTGTCGACTATACCAGAACAAAAATGATTTCACTGCTCTGTTCTGCTATATTCCTTCTGGTTTGTTACTGTAAATCTTTCTGAACTATATACAATGAATTTGTGTTCTTATACACAGATTCCTTTGTAACCTGCAATAAGAGTGGGAAGATGTGCATATACACCTTGCAAATCCTCCAAAGATTTGTGAGGTTGCGGTCAAAAAGCCTAATAAGAGTAGACTCTTTTATTAAAAGTCGAGCTTTCGAAACTGTTTAGTCTTCTTACCAAGGCAACTAAAATACAGGGTGTTTTAAAAAGGTATGTCATAAATTAAATCACGCATTCCGGGGACAAAAATAAATTGATTGAATCCAACTTAGCTTAGTACAAAAGTGTACACAAAAAAGTTACAGCCCTTTAAAGTTACAAAATAAAAATTGTTTTTTTGCATTATTTTCTAAATTACTTGACATTTTGTAATAAAAATGAACACGTTACTTCCTTGTTCTGAAAGCATTTTTCATATAAAAAAAAAACAACAAAATCTAAGTGCACAGAAAAATTTTAACGGGGGTGTGCAGCCCTACATTCCCCCAAACTTTTGAGTAAATCAAATGAATTTTGTGGCATCATTAGTTTAACACATTATTTTTAAAACTTTTTTGCCTATTATCAATTTTTCCCGAAAAACAGTTTTTTCCTCGTCCCCATAAAATTACAGTTAGTTTCTAGGGATACAATAATTACAAACAGTTACATCAATAATAGTCAATAATTTGAAGCTATCATTTATTGTGTGAATAAAATTAATAATAATTTTGATATTACAATGGCCTACACATTTCAGGAAATGGCAGATATGCATTTAACTTTGGGTAAGTTGGATCAGATTAAATTATTATTTCAATAAACTATCGGGAATATCGTAGGTGAATGTCTAGGAAATAGGGCAGCAGCCGCAAGGCGTTAGGCAGTAAAACACCCCAATCGAAATACACCCGATAGACGATTATTTCTGACCATTGATCATCGTTTACGGGAAACAGGTACATTCCAATCGCAAGTTGCTGGCAATAGTGGTCGTCCAATAATGGATGCAACTGATGAAGATATTTAGAAATCATTGAAGAAGTCCCTGGAACAAGTACAAGGGTAATAGCTGCTATATGTTCCTCACGTAAGGGTTTGGAGACGTTTGAAGGATCAGCTGCTTAAACCCTATCACTTAACAACGGTTCAAGAGTTATTGGTTGAAGATTATCCTAAAAGGATTGGATTTTGCGATTGGTTGTTAATGGAAAACACTCGAAATGTTACTTTTATTAGAAATATTTTGTTTACCGACGAGGCTACCTTCAGTAGAAATTGAATAACAAACTTTCATAACGAGCACATTTGGGCAGACGAAAATCCTCACGCCAAAAAAACGACTATCACTTTCAAAGATCATCACGACAAAAGGACTTTCAAAGTTAATGTTTGGGCAGGAATTGTGGATAACAATCTAATAGGGCCAGTATCTCTTCCCAACAATTTAAATGGTGATAATTATTTGCAGTTCTTGGCAAACGATTTACAAGAGTATTTGGAAGAAGTGAATATTGCAATAAGGAAAATATATGACTTCTACAAGATGGCGCTCCACCGCATTACAGTAATGAAGTCCGGGAATACCTTTGCAGGTAGTATCCTGGTCGGTGGATTGGAAGGGGTCGTGACGCACCTATTTCTTGGCCATCCAGAAGTCCAACTCTTAACCCCATGGACTTTTGCTTCTGGATGTTTATAAAAGAGAAAGTTTAATCTGTAACAATAGAGGACGAACAACAATTGAGGGTTAGAATAATTGAATCTGCAAATCAATTTCGTCAGAAAAATATGATTTTTCAGCGCGTTCGGTTTTCTTTATTAAAACGATATTGAATGTGTATTGAAGAAAATGGGGGTCATTTTGAACATATTGTAATATCATATTTATAGAGGTTATAGACATTTTTTGTACTTGTTAATTCATTTAAGCCATTTATTTAGTTGCACGTAATTTTTTAAGGGATAATGAAAAGGGCCGTAACTAAATAAAAACTGTTTGTTGAAAAAAGTGATAGAGGCAAAATTTTTTAAAAATAATGTGTTAAACTATAATGATGCCACAAAATTCATTTGATTTGAACGTACTCAAACGTTTGGGGGGATTTAGGGATCACCCCTCTTAAAATTTTTCTGTGCACTTAGATTTTGTTGTTTCTTTTTTATGAAAAATGCTTTCAGAACAAGAAAGTCACGTGTTTATTTTTATTACAAAATGTCAAGTAGTTTAGGAGATAATGCAAAAAAAAAACAATTTTTATTTTGTAACTTCAAAGGGCTGTAACTTTTTTGTGTACACTTTTGTACTAAGGTAAGTTGACAATTGAGTTAACTTAATCTACAAATTATGGAATAACTAGGAAAATTTCTTCATAAAACTGGGCATAGGTACAAGTGGAACCAAGATTGGAAAATAACAACGAAGGGCCAACAATTCTGAAATCTGAAATCATAAATGCAATTAATCATCTCAAAACAAATAAAAGTCCAGGTCCAGACGGAATATACCCAGAAACGCTCAAATTAATCAGCGAAGAAAATATCGAATTATTTGTCCTTTTATTCAATCGCATTTATGATACAGGTAAAATACCCCAAGATTGGCTGGAGTCAATATTCATCCCACTACCAAAAAAGCCAAACCCACAACACTGCAATGAGTTCCGTCTGATAAGCCTTATGAGTCATGCTGTAAAAGTCCTACTAAAAATCGTACATAATCGTATCTATAGAAAGTGCGAAACAATCATCGGAGACGATCAGTTTGGACTCAGAGCCGGCATGGGAACGAGAGAAGCCCTGTTCAGTTTACTAGTTCTCGCCCAAAAATGCTACGACCAACAGAAAGATATATTTATATGCTTTATAGACTTCGAAAAAGCATTTGATAGAGTAAGACACGACCTACTATTAGAACGTTTGCAAGAAGTCGGTTTAGATGGAAAAGACATCAAATTCTTAAAAAACTTGTACTGGAACCAAAAAGCCAGAGTTAGGATCGAAGGTTCCACATCCGCAGAAGTAGAAATTAGGAGGGGAGTTAGACAGGGATGTGTTCTGTCGCCTCTGCTGTTTAATCTTTACTCCGAGTTTCTATTTAAAGAAGCATTGGAGGATTCCAAGGATGGAGTCAAGGTGAATGGCGTAAATATCAACAGTATCAGATACGCCGATGATACAGTGTTAATTGCGGATTCCGACTCATGTCTACAACGACTCATCGACAAGACCAACTCGACCTGTGAGCAATTTGGTATGAAAATAAACATTAAAAAAACCAAAGTGATGTCAATCCGAAAAAACCAAAACGTACCTCAACCTTGCACAATAAATGGGCACATCTTAGAACAGGTCAATAGAATTAAGTACCTGGGATGTTGGATCGATAGCAGCCTAAATCCTGATCAAGAAATAAGATCGAGAATAGAACAGGCTAGAAAATCTTTCGAAAAAATAAAAAAACTGCTTTGTGATTCTCGAATAAAACTCGAAATTCGACTACGTTTATCAAAATGCTACGTCTGGTCGACTCTTCTATATGCAGTTGAAACGTGGACCCTTAAAACATCAACCGTAAATAAATTGGAGGCCTTTGAAATGTGGATCTACCGGAGAATACTCAAAATTTCATGGACATCGCATACCTCAAACGAAGAAGTGCTGCATAGAATAGGCAAGGAAAGAGAACTTTTTAACACAGTAAAAGTAAGAAAAACATCATACCTAGGCCACATACTGAGGAATAATAAGTACCAATATGCCCAACTTATAGTGAAAGGAAAAATCGAGGGAAAGAGAGGCCTAGGAAGGAAAAGACTATCGTGGCTCAAAAACATCCGACAATGGACAGGGCTAAATTTTGAACAGCTAATAAGAACAGCTGAAGATAGAGAAGAGTTTAAAATTGTAGTAGCCAACCTCCATTGAGGAGAGGGCACTTTAAGAAGAAGAAGGTACAAGTGGCAGATAAAAAGCATTTACATATGACAAATACATGTCTCAATAAAAAATGTAGAGGAAAAAAGAAATATTAACTAGAAATACAAAAACAAACATTAAAATTAACAAAGGGGGAAACAAGAATGAGAAAAAAGTCGAAAGTGGTATAGCGATTCGGAGAAATAAAAATTTTAATATAATAACATACTCATCTACAACAAAGTTTTAAACTTTAAAGTTATAAAAGTTTTCTCCTCTCATTTTTGCTTAGTTTCTTTTCAGCAGGTGGTGCAATGTTAGGTATTTATAAAATTATAGAAAATATGCCACTTAATGATCCAGCTTTTTAAATGGACATACATTTTTAATGACAGGAATATATTATTCCTAATTGTGGAATGATGTTTGCAAATGTTAAAATAAAAAATAATATAAACAAAAAACAATCGGACCAAATGTTTAATAAATACTTCTAAAATAATTTTGGAATTTTATTGTAGTTAGTTTCCTAATATAAGTTTTAAAAATAATTAACCCAATTTTGGATGGATTACAGTCCAGCATTAAAACTCTTTAGTTTTGAAACAAACGTTTCAGCAGCACCCATCTTCCAATACAGTACAGAACTAATTGACCTTTATTAGAGGTTATATTAAAAATTGTCATTACAAACGCCTCAAGTCATTTCTTCTTAAAAAGCAATATCATCAAGATCAAATACAAATGGTGGATAATTATCTCAAAAAGTTATGGAGAACTTTTAACAACATTATTAATAATACCAACAAATGCAAACCCGACAGCAATAACCAAATTAACCATCGAATATATTATAACAGTTAAAGATCTAGTTTCCAAACCTCACCAGTTAAATGGAAACTTCAAACAAATTGGAACCGCAATTAATTGAAGCATGTGCCATCCCTAATTATTTCAACTGAAACCCCTTAATCCTCAAGAGGTGACAGATATAATTATGTAAATGAAATCTGGTGTCAGTCCTGGAGCTGAAATACTTGCAGCAATGGATTGAATAAAGTAATTTATGCAGGAGTTATCTACAATTTTAAGTAGTGTGATAAATCTGTCTTACATCTGGTTCTATACGAAATATCCTCAAAAAAGCGTCTCCTCTGGTCTTCCTCTTCTACTTCTTCCAGAAACTTCCAAATCAGCAATTATTCGTATTGTGTGATTAACGACTAGACTACGATTACCTTTATGTCGAAACCCGACATGCCCGAACCGTCTTAACCTATGCTCTGATTTTGGCATCAATTGGTGCCACTTCTAGACTTCACCTAATGAAAATATTTTTAATTTTATCCATTTTTATCACTCAACTCATCAAACTAAGCACACACTCATTTGCGCCACACACGTTCGTTTTTTTTTTGTTTTAATTGCGAAACATTCAGATTCGTATATCATAGCTGGTCTTATGACAGTTTTATAGAGTTTTCCTTTCAATTTCATTGCAATCTCTCTGTCACGTAACACACCCATCGCTTTCTTCTGCTTCTCCATTACTAGTGTCATAGGTTTTTCGTTTTAAGTGTATTGGGATTTTTCTGACTTTTAAAATGAAGCTCAACTTACCAAGAGCAGCCCATGACAATTGGGTCCTTTGATGTTTTCTAGGCTGTTGCTTAATATCTTTGTTTTGTCGAGATTCATTTTTAATTATATTTGATTTGATTTGTGATTTAAATCTTGTAGCAATGATTTTAGTTCATGGATATCTCTGCTTATTAGTACTATGTCGTCTGCGAAACGCAAATGGTTAAGATATACTCCATCTATTTTTAATCCCTTTTCTGCTCAACTTAGTTTTTTGAAGACATTTTCTAATGCCAAAGTAAATAACTTGGGTGAGGTTTCGCCCTGTCTTACACCTTTGCCAAGGTCTATTTTCATAGTTTCCAGATCATCATCTATTTTTACGTGAAAAGTAGCATCATCGTATATGTTAAGGAGGGCAGCATATCTTGAATCTACTCTGGCGTCGCTCAATGCTGTTAAGAAAGCCCATTTCTCAATACTGTCGAATGCTTTGTGATAATCGACAAATGCCAGATGTAGTGGTATGTTATCCTCTATTGTTTTTTCAATAACTGTCCGGATTGTTTGCAAGTGATCGATCGTGCTAAAACCCTTACTTTCGTAAACTTGCTCCACTGATTGGTATGCATCTAGCTTAGCTGTCAATCTATTTGTTATTATTCGGGTTAGTAGTTTGTAAAGGTGTGACAATAAATTGGTCGGTAGTTTTCTATATTTGCGGCGACACCTTTTTTATGGAGTAGAATGACTTCCGCATTTTTCCATGCTTTTGGTATTTGTCCTTCCAATAGGCATTTATTCAGTAATGCTCTCTTCTAATGCAGTGCCTCCCATTTTTAGCATCTCTGAAGTAATTTTATCTTCTCCTGGTGTTACCCTAATTTTCATTTGTTTTAGGGTGACTCTAATTTCTGATGTTAATATTTCAGGGAGATCCTCTGAGCCCACATTTAAGACATGTTTTGTTGGTTTAACGAGGTTCGGAATAGTAGAAGACTAGAAGTGTACAGCTTCTCATAAAATTTTCGAATTTCTCTAACGATCTCTTCCTTATGCGAGCACAATTTTCCACGGTCGTCTCATTCTCTACCGTATATTAAATGTACCTATTATGTGGAATAAATAATAAAATATTAAAATTCTAATTTTTGTGTGCTACATATTGTGAAATCATCCACATTTCTACAGCTACAGTTGAGTCTAGATCTTCTTAAGCTTTTTGCCCCATTTGTAACAAACTTTCTAATGTATAATTCCAATTTTTACTTGCGAAACCTCTCGCCAATAGAGTATGTCGTACACTGTAGCTTTTACATTGTCTATATGTCCTGTCCACCGCAGGCGTCTAATTATTATTGCAGTGATAGGGTGTGAAATATTGAAATAAAACATCTGTCGGAGAGAGGTGAGTAACATTTATTTACTAAACATAAATTTTAAAACATCTCACATCGATTAACATATGATACATTTGAATGAAACTTTCCAATCTATAACTAATATATACCTACTTTTTGTGTTAGGTAAAAATCTCAACTAAAACGTCAACAAGACAATATTCGGTGTATGGTTCCCAATTGCACACTATTCGAGAACAGTCAGCAGCGAATTTTTGCCGACAGAACGAGCACGCTTCCGAAACATCAGAAGGTGTGTCGGAAGAGAAAACGGGAAAACGGCGCGGGAAAAACTAGTATCACTCCCAGGCGGTTTTCCGCTTTTCCGACGCACGTTCGAGCGAACAAGTCTCGGAACCGTCCCATTGAGCTGTTGAACTCAGTGACTAGAATCAAAAAGTAGTTGGAGCAAGCGTTCTATCGCACCCTTTTAACCGAACGGCTTGTTCTAGTACTTTTCTGTACCTACGAACCCAGAAGAAAATTCAGTTTGTGTGAAAAGTTCAATAAGTTACAAGCATTATAGTTTAAAGCGTTAGGTTGATTAATAATATTTAAGTATATTTTTCCTTCTTATCTATACACACACGA